TCATTTAAATGAACAAAACTGTGAACTCTGGGGAATTTTCAGCACAAATTCTGATTTAGGTTCTTCTCTGGTCTTGATGTATGATTTTCTCCAGTCATCTTTTGCTTTGAGAAGCTGGATTCACCTCAAACCACATTTATTCTTTGAGAACATCAGCATCTTTCTGGCCAATCCCTCTCAAGGAAGCCATTAACTTAAACTGCAAGTTGTACCTCCCCTCATTTTTCAATGACACATGCTTGTTATTATTATTGTTCTGCTTATCAGTGTACCTCTCTTTCTGGGGATGTATTATTTCATGCTTTGACATCTCACCACAAAGTACAGCTACAGTTTCCAACCACATATGTAAGAGTAATTGAAAGAAAATTTTGGAAAGTCTTTGTTCAGGAGACATGTCTCCTAAATCATGTTGAACTGGTAATCAAATGGATTCAATAATTGCTCTAACTTAAACTCAGCAAAATGAGCCTTTCCAAACTCGTGGTAGGGAGTTACTCTAATCGAGTCCAGGACCCCTTGTGACAGAAAATGCTGAATTTTCTAAGCAGATTTGAGTTCATGTTCTGGGTTGGAGGTGAGGCTGGCTGCAGGGTTATAAGAGCATTGACAGAGTTCTCTGGAGGCAGCACTTTTGCTCCTCTGCAACCTTTTAGCCCCAGAATAGCTAAATATTGACTTTACTAGTATGGAACAGCAATGTTGCCCCAGGCTGGTCCTCAGCCACATGTGCCAGAGATCCCAAGGGATCTCCTTCCCTTACAACATGAGAGATGGTGTAAAATCTGTCTTCAAGACCACTTTGAATCCTGATGGAATGGTACAAGGGGATTTGGCTGGCACCAAAAGCCGGTGGGTTTTTTTTTTCTTCAGGTGTGATCATGAGGGATGGATTACAAGCCTTTGGAGAGTGATTAGTTATGTTTGTTAAACCAGTTCTTAGCTGGATCTAGCCTTTTGGTCAGGAGTCAGGAAAGGAAGCTTAAGTCCAAGTGTGACAGAGTGGAAAACATCATGTGTGTGGCCCACATTTAGCAATTTCTGTAAAAAAGAGTCCCACTAACTAGATGATGTTACATTAACCAAGATGTTCCGCTGCTTTGAGTCATGTCTCTGCTTCCAGAAAATAATTATCTCTCCAAATGAACTGACTATTAATTGAGGCAGACCTCAAATGATCCCAAAACAGCCCATACACTAATTAAAGACAGAACAAAGTATAGTTTCTCCCGTTCTCTCTGGAGGCAATTGGATTTCTGAGGGAAAGATAATTCCTCGTGGCTTTTCCGTGGTTTCAAGTTGAGAAATGCACCGTGTTTCCTCGCTGGCAGCAAAGACGTGGGTGATGTATGAGGAGCAGCCCAGACTGAGTGCAGGAACACGCTGCTGCCATTTAGCCCAAGATAATGTATTTCACCATCACACGCCTGGAGTTTTTCAGCAACTGGTTTAATGTATTGGAAAGTATTTGGCTCGCCTTGGAAATGTTTCCCGTTTGAAAACAAGCTGCAGTGGGAGAGCTGGCAGTTGCACAGGAGGCTGCTCCGTGAAAATTGGATTTCCCTGAGCGGCGCAGTGGGAATGGGTCACAGCGAGGGCTCTGAGCAGCTCCCAGAAACGGCTCCAGGCTGCACAGATCTGCCAGTGGAGAACTCCTCCCCTTGGTCTCCAGAGGAAGGCTGTCACCTCGCAGCTTGGCAGAACAGGGATTTGGAACGGATTTTATTCCTGGTTTCTGTCCCTTGGGCAAGGAGGACGTGCAGAGGAAGAGCAAAGCCTGGCTTACACTCATGAATTAAAAGTCTTGGGATTATTTTAAATCTCCAGCAGTGGAGCAGAATCTCCATTATAATTTTGCTCTCAATTTAAGACTATTTTCTTAACCTCAACAACCACAGAACCACTAGCTGGCTCTAATTTGTTAGTAAGCCACAACCTGGTCCTGGTTGAAAGAGCCAAAGGTCTTATGCATGAACTCAGGTGACACACTGAATTTTCTCTGGGGCCCCTATTACCTGCACAGCTCCCCCTCTCAGGGGTGATGTGAGGACAAGTTCTGCTGCTGTTGTGATAATGCTGAAAAAGGCTGCTTGCTCCAGCCCTGGAGAGATTTGTTGCTGTGCCTAAGCCCTCCTGGACACAGATTTATTGTTCAGCTTAAGCACAAGAAACAGTATTGCATCCAAAAAAGTTCCTCTCCCACCCTGGCTTGCAGCTTTCCTGGGCTTTTCCCTTGCCTTTCCCAGCAGAGAGGACCACACACCCTTTGGTGCTGGTTCTTTATTCCTCATATCTGCAGCTCCTATCTCCACCCCTCGTGCTGCATGAGGCCCTGCCTGCCCTCCAGGCTGCCCCAGCCTGGGCCAGCTCACCCTGCTCCCGGAGACTGCACCCAAACCTGCCATTTTGCTCATTTTTTTCTAGCCCAATCCCTTTCCCTGTGGGACAGGGGGTGGGAATGTGTTATCCAGGGGAAGGTCGTGCCTGGGGCATGTGATAGGAGTGTATTTCATCTCAGTGGCACCCTGCATGCTGCCAGTGAGGATCCTTGGCATGATGGTTTGCTGACAAAAGGCCAACACGTTCCCAGCTGACCTCCACGAAGCTGTCTCAGCGTGGGTATAAGGCAGGATCCCTGGGTGGACCAGTTCGAGGTGCCCATCCCCATCTCCTTCTTGTTTTAGCCCTTAGCAAGCTCGTGTGAACTCGATAAAAATACAGGGAGGCTTCCTCCGGTTCCCACTGACAAAACCCGAACTGCACAGCGGGAGGGGGAGTAAAACCACCCAAACTTGGCAGGAAGGCGAAGGGAGAGGGTCTGCAGCACACAGCCACGAGAGGGCAGGAGGAGCAAAGCTAAGACCCTTCTCCAAAGGGGCTCCCCGCGGGGCTGAGGATTTATGAAGGACCGGTCTTCTTTCTCAGAGAGGCTGAGCTTCTCCTTGTGCATGTGGATTTCTGTGTTCCCAGGCTGGCATCTACAGCTGAAGGGACACCTCAGTTCTTGGTGCCCGAAGGAGGACAGCCCCATGGCGGGCATTCCTGGCTAATCTTTCCTGCATCCCCCATCCCTGGGTAACTTTACCAGTCCCTCTGTGCCGCATCCTTTCCTGGGAAGGGTGGCAAGAGGAACGAGTTAAAAGGTGAATCACCTGCACCCTGTGGCAGTAACTGCACAGGGCAGATGGACTCGTGGGAGTGGGAAGTGCTTGGGTTTCAAGGCTTATTGTTAAACATTCACCAGTGCAAAGGAAATAGAATTTGTCCTGTTTTGCGCAAAGAGCCACTGTCTGGCTCTGTTCTTGTTTACAGTCAGAGTCCATGGGATGTCCCTCTTGCCCTTCCTGAAATGTCTATAAAAAGCATCTTCAAGTTGTTCTGCGTTGCAATAGGACATCACCAGCTTGTTCCAGAGCTGGGTTGTGTTATTTGTCACAACAGGGAGCAAGTGGGACAGTGGGAAGAAATTGAAGAAAACTCTTCACTGGGCTTGGAAGGAATTACGAGAGGCTGTGCAAAATGACTATTTCACCCCAAGGCAGGACCACCCCTCCCTAAACCAGCCCTGACAGTATCTCCATTAGACTGAGGATGGGGTTAATAGTCCTTGTAGGAAGGGATGGGAAAAAAAAAAAAAAGAAGAGAAACAAAATTATACCTGGAAAATAATAATGTGGGTCAATGCTCGGTCAGAGGGAAAAACAGAGATGTGAAGAGATCCCTGCCTGGGAGCATTCAGCTGCTTTCTCTGCCTGGCTCTGGTGTTGCCCTGTGAGAGCAACAGGATTCTGGCTTGCACAAGGACCACTGTGTCCTATGATACCCCTGCTACCCTTCCCTAATTTCAGTCAGTTCTTGTTCCTGCTGCCTCAGAAAGGTTTACTGACAGTGAGACATACGAGGTGAAAAGTCAGCCTTGAGGCTAACACTGGAAAATAATTTGTGGAGGGAAAGAAAGTACATATTTGGTCAGGTTTACATGCCAGGTCTTGAAACAGCAGAACTGTTTTGGCAAGAAGCATGATTCTGTTTGACTGAAATAGTAATGAATCTAACTTCAAGGCTGATTGCATCTTTATGACCTGAAATTACTTTATAGCTGTAATTTATTCTCCCTTTCATACAGGAATAACTCTGGCAAGGACTGGTCTTGCCGTAAGTAACACCCAGAGGGTGATCAAAGAACAATTATTCAGTCTGACAAAACAGGAGCTTGAGGGGCTCACAAAAACCTGTCAAGTGACATGTTCAACACTGTCAAAGAGAGGCATTTTGTGTGCTAAAGCTATGGACTGCCTTGGGTGGGTCCTGTGGATGCTGATGTGAGTTCAACATGTGGGCAAGTTCATGGGATTTGATGTACAGAGACCCCACCACCTGTTTTGGGCAGCCTTGAGCCCCCAGCTGCTGAAAGAGGGATTTGACCCCAGTGCTGGGTCATGACAGAGCTGCCTCTTTCTTACACTATTTGGAGGCATGATCAGAAATAGGGTATTGGACTAGGCTGACTTTTGGTGTAACCATATACACCCAAAGGACATGTGTCTATGACTGTGCCTATCCCAGCTGCTTTGCCAGCACTTCAGGTTTGGGTTCCTCTGCACTTTTGACACACAGAAGGCACATGACACATAGATCAAGCCTTTGAAGGTCAGAGTCTTCACCCAGAGGTGGCCTGCAAGCCAGACAGTACATCTGAAAAACCATGCCCAGGTCTGGCATCCTTCTTTTCCACCTGGTTGGAGATTTAGACACCACTCACCCTTGGAAAGCTACAGCCCCTCAGAATGACTTCACAGTTCCTATGCAATACAAACATAGCAGCAGGGCTCTGATGCAGTGAGGACTCCTCCCTTCAAACTGGTCTCTGGTTCTTCTGAAAAGCTTATAGAATAAAATTATTATAACATTTGAATTAAAGACATGGGTTTATGTCCTCTTCACAAACACTATCAGAAAGGTTTTTCAGAGACACAGGGATAAAAGGTAAAATTGCCTTTATTCAACCTAGTATAAACCAGGAAGAGGTAGAATGAATCATGTCTACCATGCTAACCTTTTCATAACCCTGTCCATTAGATGCTTCTGATGTCTCTGAACTGAGCCCAGGTCTTGCTATTCAAACACGTCTCTCAGACCACAACACTTTATCCAATACGATGGCTCAAATCAGGCATCTATTCAGTTATATACCCTTATTTCTTCTTCCAAAAGTGCTATGCAATGCCTCAGAAAAGCTTGTGCATGCCAGTTCCTGGAAGAGACATGATTTCTTGCAAGCAGCAAAATCCAAATAGAGCCAGCAAGCTCCACCGTGCCCCTCCTCTGCATTTTTTGTGAAAGCACCTTAAAAACACATTGCAAAGCAAGTGCACTCCTTAGGTTGTTAGCACAACCCAGCTGCAAATCGAGGAGCAAATTTCTTACCATTAATACTCAGGCTTTGTGCAACTTTGAGTCTTGAGTTCTAAAAAGTCGTATCTCAGCAAAAGGTAGGAAAACTTTATTTCCATGGGATTTTCTTTAGAATAATTATCAACTCTCCACTGAAGAATTCAACTCTTACATGTTATGGCAATAGTTGTTCTATTAGAAAACTAATTTTTTTCATTTTCTGTGTGGTCAGAGTCTGCTGTTAATGGCTCCATTTTCTGTGCATCCCCTCCAGCACATGGTGGTGGTAGTTCTTCTTCTGGAATAAACTGAACAGGCCAGCATCTTCTTTGCTGGCTTGCTACATTGTCCTTACTCACCTTTCCAATTTGCTGGAGATCCTTGACAATTATTTTTTCAGTGTCTTCAAGTACCGTTGTCAATAAATTAAACAGCAGAGCAATCCAGGCGAGGCCAAAAAGAATCCAAATGGCCACCAGCACTCGGTAGTAGGAAAAGTATTTCCTGCCAGACTGTTTGCCTGAAGATAAGGGGAAGAAAGAAGAAGAAAATTAACAAGTTAAAATAGCCAAAGGGAAGTGGAACAGTTTAATGAATGCGTCAATATATTTTACACTGAGAACTTTAAGGTGACTTTTTCCTTGTAGTGGAGACTCTCACCTCCCCAGCATTAGATTAAGGCTGGGCAATGGTTTATTGTGTTTATTGTTGCAGTAAACTTATATATGCTAGCACAAATATGCTAGCCTGTCAAAAGACACACTGGGATCGAAGTGAGTCATTCCATGGTTCTATGACTCTGTGATTGAGGTGAATTAGCATGAGAGCAGGATATTTTTTTCCCCTTATAGCATATAATGCTGCATCTACAGGTAAATGCAATTATGTGGGAAGTAGTGTTCAATTGTATTGTATTATCTTGGAAATATTCCCAAACTCCCAAAGCATAGCGGGCTGCTATAATCACACAACCATTACTACCTGGGTTATTGTAATCCTCTGTATTTATATAGAGTGTGATTATAACCTAGTAAATATTTCCTTTAAATGACAGGTACCTGTGTTCATACAGAGACTAGTTGCAATTACTACCTTACTTTTCAATGGTTTCAGGAGCTTCCTCCATTAAAAAAAACTAGGTGACTGATGAGAATTCATTGATACATGCCAAGAACACAACTTTCTGCACTGGAAACCAGTGAACCAAAGCTCATTTCATGCAGTCCAACCCTCTTAGCATCAGCCAGTATCTCACACCTGCTGTTCTGCGTGGGTCATTTAGTCTGGTTCTTCATGTCAGCAATCTACCCCCAACACACACAAAGCATTTGCTCCTACTGAACTTGGTCCCACACAACATTATCATCGTGATGCAGATGATGTGGCACTGGCATCTGCAGGAAAACTTGGTGATATTGCTTACTGAGTGCTCCAAGTCACTGCACAGCCATGTTCATGGACAGGGAGATCTCCACAAACCTGCTGGATCACTTCCCTTTGAGAACCTGCGTGGAAGGAGTCAGGATGCTGGCAACTCTTGTCAAATCCTGCAGTGCTCTGAACTGCACAGATTAATGTGCAAGATTTTTGTTCTTCATCATCCAGGAGCTCTGGAAATGGAGTAGGACTGGGCAGGTTTGTCCTCATGGATTGATATCCAACAGCTGCTTCTTTTTCTTCTGCTGGAGTTGAGTTGGCAGAGACATTCTCAGCCTTGGTACAAAGCATCTCCTTGTGCTCTTATCCCAAGTTCATGATGTGGGGTTAGCAAAGCGACTGGCAAGATCTTTATAATGTTAACTCAAAACTGGACTTGAGCAGGGCACATACTTGGTTAACAGCCCACAGGGAGTTTCATGCCAGAGATATCACCTATATGCACATGTATTCCAAACAGTTAAATCCAGGCTCTGCCACCTTCCTCGTGTGTCTCCCTACCCAAAACAGGCTTAGCTACAAACCAGTTTTGAATTCATAAAATGCAAATAAACTCAAACCTCTTCTGTTTTGCTTGACCAGCACTAAAACATTTGTCATCTGTAAGCGATGCCTGACACTCAGAGCAGTCACTGATTCTGCTTGCTTCATTGTGAAGATGTGAAGCATTAAACTTATTACCATTTTATTACTGTTGTTAAGGCAAATTAAGGTAAATACTGGCAGGGAAAAATATTTCAGCTCCAGTTAAGTCATCCTAATGAAGGTGAAATCATAAAGCCAGGAGGCCTACCTAATTGTTATTTTTAAATAACAATTTAAAAAATTAAAATACAATTAATTGCATTTGGAAAGCAATACGGTTTCAGAGGAGGAAAGTGCTATAGAGATTGTAGTGGATTTCTGTCCCTCAGAGAGGAACATGAAGCTTCCAGATTCTCTGTAGGGTGCTCAAGTATTAGCTACACAGCTTCCTTTGCCTATCCCAACTGAGGAGGAGTTCAGGCTGGCACGATGCTGGCAGGACAAGCTGTTGTGGAGAAATCTTTGATTCTCCATAGAGTCCAGGTGTTTGATTTCTTCTTCTGTGGACACTGATTTGGCTCCTGGTGAACATTTTAGAATTCCTCTGGAACTTCCTCAGAGAGGATATTTTGGTCAGCAGATCCACAGAAGCGTTTTGAGAAGCATTCTGGAATGCTTGAATGCATCTTAAAGAGCTTTTCTTCAGGGGAAGTCCTAAGCTCTGGTTTGTGAAGACAGAGAACCTTCAGAGATGCTCAGGAGATCAAAGAAGGCCACTTTTGCAGTGATATGTATCTTTAAGCCCACTTCTCAAAGACTGAGTACTTTTCTCCACTTTCCCATGACTGGGATTTCCACCTCTCAGTCTGTTGTGTAAAATCACATCTCCTGAAACATGACCACTTACTATTTACTCTACACTTTGAAACATAAGTCTTAGATAGCTAAAGCAGTGATAGGTGTTTTGTTTTGTATGACTGCTGCCAACTGTTCCCTTTTGGTGTGTACAAATTCCCAAGCTCATTGAATTCTCCCCTTACACTTCTCCTTCCCTCACCAAAATACTTGTCTTCTTTGCACCCCAAAGCACCTCATTTCATTATGTTTGTCAGCACATAAAATCCCTGAGAAAAGAGTATTTCCCCCAGAACTGTACAAGACAAGGACTAGTCAAAGACTCCTGTTGACAGATTTGTCTCTACAGCCCACTGGTGGCCTGTGCAGTCGACCCACAGGAATTACAGTCATAAACCTGCTGTTTTGATGTGTCTCCTCTCTGCAGTCAGCCTTACCTACTACATAATCTCCAAAGCCAATGGTGCTGAGGGTGATAAATGCAAAGTAAATTCCTTCGCTGTAGGACCAGCCCTCTGTTATCTGGAAGAAGACTGATGGCAAGCACAGAAAAACTAGGATCCCCGTTGCCAGGAAGAACAAAAGGGTCAGAAATTTGATCTTCTTCTGAAAAATAAACCAGTTCAATTATAATCATGATTTGACATGCTAGTAGGCCATATATAATGGTGGCTGTTCAAAGTGGGTGGCTATCTAGGGCCACAGGGATGGAAAGATTTGTACTGAGTGCTTTTCCTCTGGAAGCACCCCAGCCTTGCTTGGAAGTAGGGGGAAGCCATGTGTTATGGGTGTTGCATGTCCACAGGAGCCCTGGAAGATGTAGTCTTTTATCTGATTGTAACAATGACCATGAGTGCAGGAGGAATTCCTATCCAATGGCATTTTCTGGAGTCAGACTATGTCCACTTATCACTAGGTGACTTCATTTTTAATTTTTAGGTATTCAGGGTTGCCACCTAAAGAACATTTAAATTTGCCTGGGAAAACAGATTTTTTTATAAAAAAATATTTGCACCATTTCTGACAGTATTATCTTCAAGAGTCTTGATTATTGACTTATTTCTCATTGCATCAGTGCCACAACTTTTCTCCTACCCAGTGGATATCTTACTGCAAGAAGACCTTTAACTAATGAGGTCCTGATAAAGAAGTGCCTGGACAGTGACTTCTGAACCATTCTACTTCCCAGCAGTCATGAAGAAGCCTTGACTGGAGAAAAAGACTTGTTATATGTTAAGATCTTTCAGCCAGACATGCATGTAGTTCATGTATAGATTTTTATAAGTCCAGATTGCCTGAAAATCAATGGCAACTGTTGAATAATTTTTCATGTCTTCATGCATTGTGCACTTGCTTGTGTCTGTACCTGAGCAAGCATTAATTTCTATTTAAGCTTGTCAGATATGGCAAGAAATTCAGCAACCTGAACAGGGTTATCTGCAGCATTCACACCTTACCCTGAAAGAGAACAGTAGGAGACACAGAAAAGCTATTCTCACTTCCTCAGCAGTGGTGAGAGGAAAGGGAGGAGCTGCAAATAACTTGGGACATACACCAGACAAGACACATCTCTCCTCTAGCCCTTTACAGGTGTCTCCTCACCTTTCAGCACCTGGGCTCAACTGGACAACTTCAGCCTGCTGCTTCCTTTCTGCCAAAGTCAAGGGTGGAGAGGGAGTAAAGGACTGTGTAATGAGTTAGGAGCAGTGACACGCTATTCCTCGAGTCAATATTCACTGAAACCTCTGCAGCTCACCTACTTCTAACAGCTTTTCACAGCTCTCCTGCTTTTTGCTGCCTCACCATGAGATGTTTAATCAGCTTTACTGGTTATAAAGGGAGGCATGTACTTCCCTAGAGTGTTAGGTCCCAAGGGAAGTGTCTGGAAAAGTGGGATGGGACGCCCACTCTCTCCACTGATTGCTGAAGGGGGTGGATGTCTCCATTTAGATGGGAAGGCAAAATGCATCCCTTTCTCTGAATATCCCCTCCACAGTTGCCATGCCTGCTTAGCTCCATGAGTGAAAAATGTCTCTCTCCGTCTCCTAGCATGTCTAACACAGCATGACAACAAATAAAATAGAGGATAAGGCAACATAAAACTTGAGGAAAAAACCCTAGAAATGAGCATATAATTGTGCCTGAGTAAGTAGAAACAATTACCTTCCTCATTCCTTTCTCGTACAGGAATTTCCCCAGCTTTTTACACAGCAGTGAGAGCATCTTACCGACACGGTGCAGAAAAACAATGTTGAGAGGGATTCCAAACAGAGCAAAAAACACACAGAAGATCTGTCCCCCAACAGTTCTAGGATGCAAGGTGCCATAGCCTATGAACAAAAGATTGGTTAGAGAAGATATTTCAGAGTACTGGAGCAGTCCACAGTCACATTCAACCCTACCCCCAATGCTGCCTGCCTGTGACCCCAAAAGATGTGGTTAGCACTTCTCAGGACACGTGCATTCTTTTCTTCCCTGAAAAAGGCAGTAAGCAGATGAAGTGATCCACCCTGCATGTTTGGGGCAATGCAGAGAGCACTGTGTGCTCTGAGCACAGCCTCAGTGGGAACAAAAGTTCAATCCAGAAGCAGTTATGGGAAATGTGCCCTGTCCTGTAACGAATACACAGAAAGACAAAAAACAGAAGTCTGAGGATCTGGAAGACATCAAGGCTGGAGTCCCAGGCTGTTAGAATCACATGCAGCCATCTCTAGCTTCTTGTTGATCTGCCTGTGTGTTAGTGACCTCTCTGGCTAAATCCCAGGAAGTTGGTGTGTCCAGATACTGGCTCCAGTCCCAAGGAGCGCAGTGTGCATTGGAATAGATGGTGCTAATTAGTCCAAATCTCGCTGGTGGCTGATTTACTCATGGCACAGAGATATTTGTCCTTAAGTCCTAAACCCTAAAAGAGGGTTTATCTCAGTTAGTGGAACAACTCCAAATGTGTCTTTTAATGATCCAGGGACTCTTAGACCCCACGAGGTACATCCCTGAGTGCATGAGTACTGCACTCTGTGTTTGTCCTTATTCTATCAATGACCCTGGGAAAAGGCATTTCCCAGGCACAGTTCATCTCAAGGCATGCATCACTTGGAAAATGCAATGTTTTTTTTGGGGGGAAAAGACAAATGAAACAACTGAGTGATTTTTTTGTCTACAAGATCCCAAATGCATGAGCTGTGTTGTGCTCCTGTTGCAGAAATATTCCATTCTCATGGGAAAAAAAGCTGGTGAAGAGGAGTAGAAGCACCTGACATGCCTTCACAACAGACCTGTGTGGCGAAGGTGCAGAGAAACAGGCAAATTTGTACATTTCCTGGGACAGATTGTGTTCCTGCACTGGTTTTGGCAGGGATAGAGTTAATTTTCATCCCATTAGCTGGTACTGGTGCTTTGGATTTGTGCCGGAAACAGTGTTGCTAATTAAGAGATGTTTTGGTTGTTGATGAGCAGGGCTTGCACAGAGTCAAGGCCTTTTCTGCTCTTCACCCCCCACCCCACCGATGAGGAGGCTGGAAGTGGACAAGGAGCTGGGAGGGGACACAGCTGGGACAGGTGACCCCGCCTGGGCAAAGGGGCATTCCAGACCATCTGGTGTAATGCTCAGCATACAAATCTGGGGGAAGAAGAAGGAAGTGGGACACATTCAGAGCGATGGCTGTTCCTGTGTTGCTGCACTGGACAGGCTGGAACTCCAGCGAACTTGAGTTCACCGTCAAAGGGACTGTGGATGAGTCCAGGTGGGAGCAGGGCACCCTGAAGCATCTGTGGCTCTGGATAAGCCTGTGACACAGCAGGTCCATCTTAAAGGGCCTGTGGTTACGCCTGTGCCACAGCAGGTGTACCTCTGAAGGAACTGTGGCTCAGGCATGAGTCTGTGCTGCAGCAGGGCTCACTGGATCATCAGGAGCTGTGGATAAGTCCATGCTGGAGCAGCTCAAAGTGTGTGTCCATGGATAAACCCATGACAGAACAGGCACACCCCTGGAGGGACTGTAGCGAGGTGTAAGGTTATGTTGGCGCAGGGTCACTTCTGAAGGGACCGTGGCTGTGGGTAAGGCCACGCTGGAGCTGGTACAGCTCTGAAAGCTTTGAGGCCCATGGATAAAGCCATCCTGGAGCAGGTTCACCTCAAAGTGACTGTGGCTGTGGATAAGTCTATGCTGCAGCAGGTACAGCTCTGGAGAGACTGTGGCTCACAGATAAGGCCCCATCTGGAGCAGGTACAACCCTAAAGGACTGCAGTCTGTGGATAAATCCAAGCTGGAGCAGAGGCAAAAGGAAGAGTTCATTGCAATGTTAAACCATATGACCTGGCTCAAAGCCACTGGGGCAGAGATTGTAAAGGAAATAAATTGTTGTAACCTGTGACCTGAGTTGCATGTTATGGGAATTACTACAGCAGGAGCCACTGTAACCAGTGGAAAAGGCTTGCAAGAAGCAGTCAAGTGCAGCAGTGACCAACCTGAGCTGCCTTTGGTGATCAGTAACTCCACCTCACACAGCTCCTCTCCTGTCCTGAGTGACCACCAAAACAGCTTGAGCCAAAGTCATGGCCTAAATGAACTCGTTGGGCATTTTGTGGACATCTGTGGACCTTTATGGACATTTTTCAGATGTATCACAGGGGTAATCCATAGACTAAGGGAATGATATCTGTGTATTATATCAAAGGATGGGAAGGGTGGTGGTGAGCATTGAAAATGTATTGGATAGTGTGAGACTTGAGCATGATGTAAATGGTATATGAAATGAGGGGTGGGTGTGCTTATTTTGGCGGGGGGTTGCTTAATTTTCTTCTTTGGATTTGCACTGAAAACAGTGTTTCTAATTCAGAGATGTTTTGTTTCTTGCCTTGCAGCGCTTGCACAGAGCTAAGGACTTTCCTGCCTTCCCTCTACAGCAGATCTCCACACGGCTTCATGCAACACCTGAACACCTCCATGACACTGGGACAACATCTGGGCCCTTGTGACGTGTAACACTCATGGATCAGTGGGGCAGCTGTGCTCAGGGTGCAGTGGGAGGGAGACCTCAGCTTCACTCTGCAAAAACATAGATTTGACTTACCCTGCATGAGAGTGTGAAGCAGGTGCCAACAGTATGGATTTTGTGCTTAAGCTTGGCAGGCCTGCACTTTTTGGGATGCATATTTGAGAGAAAGGGAGAAGCAGGTAGGAGCAGGCAGGCCCTGAAAAGGTCAGAACAGCTTGAAGCAGCAGCATAAAAGTCTCAGTATTTGCCTTTAACTCTTCCCATTTTTTTCCTCCTGGGATATTACTAATTCAATATGTGAATTAACAGCTCAAGACAGGTTATTGAGACAGGGCCCATGCCCCAGCAGGGTTCACTTACTTCCTACCATTTTTTTTTAATCCTTTACAGCACTCTCAGATTTAAAGCCTATTTGACCCTGGAAAAAAGACCAGGAAAGTGATCTTGCACACACAACTGTCAGCAGAGCAAACATTTTAACAGGTGGCTTGAAAACAAGAAACAAGTGGGAAATAATATGAAAGGCCACTGCTATTGGACAAGCCAAAATAATGCATGAAGAGCTGTGCAGTGATAAGGACTAAGTCCATGGCTGCTTACTGTCAATGACAATGAAGGGCTGGAGATTTTATCCTGGAAAGTATTATCCATTCATGTCCTAATAACCAGAGGTAATAAGCATCACTCACGCACAAACCACACATAAATGAAAAGCATTAGACCTACCTATTGTGGAGACAACTGTGCCTGCAAAGAAGAAGGAGTTACTGAAATCCCAGTTGCTCTCTTCAAACTGTGATTCATTTCCAACAGGGTATACTCCATTTTGAATGGCTTCAGTCAGGTTCTGGGAGAGAAGGCAAAGTTTGGCGTCATCATGACTGCTTTTCTGAAGTGCTTGCTGCGAGAACTCTACAGGTGTATCCAATTACTGCTCCTTTCCTGAGAGTACCACACACCTGACTGTGGTGATCCTCTGTGCTTGATTAGATGTGTCTTCCAAGCCTCTCAAGCCCTGTCATCTATCACTTGAAACACTTTCAGACTCTTCTCTCCCTTGTTTTTAATTCTAAGTGCTGTTAGTTTATTTAAGTTAAAATAATAATAATAATAATAATAATAATAATTGCCTTTAGCAAATAGAGAAGATTGGACTGGACATCTGGAAGGCAGGATGGTCTGTACGGAAACAGCTGAGATAAAATCCAAGGCACAGCCCTGCCAGAGGCAGGACACAAGCTGGAATAAATTGCACCAGCAAAGTCTTCCTCCCTGCTTACTCCCTCACTATCCTTTTTGCTGGTGTTCCAGAAAGTCAGGGCTAACAAAAATCATTCCATAGCCCTTGCACAAAGATTTCTTTGTCTTGAAAAGCTCATCTTTTTTTTTTCCTCCTCCCCTACCCATAAAAACAATCAAGGTGAAGAGAGTGGATGTATAGGTGAAAAGGGGGCTGAATTGCTGGTTGTGTTATTAAAAATACCACTTCTTCCCCACCTTTCACTATTTTGCAAACAGACCCATTAAGACCTCCATTCGTTTCCCTTCCAGCAGGGCTTGCACTCCTCATTTTCTCCTGTGTTGTAGCAGACAGAGCTAGGAAATACTGATGGTGAGAAGACAACTGTACTTATTCTGAGCTTCCTATGCTGTGACCAAAAACACTTTCCCCCTGACCAGGCTACCTGTTTCACTTCTACAGCATCTTCAGAAAGTAAACCCTTACCGTGCCACTTTCCTGGTAGTAATTTGGCCTTCTTTCCCTCCCCCTCCCCATTCAGACCTTGTCTTATTGTTCCTCGGTGCTGCCAGGGGCACTGTTGTAAGTGGAAGCCACAGCTATTCATTTCAGACAGCCTTCTTTTTCCTACCCTTCCACTCATTGTGTATGGCACAGCCACACTGAGAACCAAAACAACAGGAGGCAATGACTATGCCCCCCCCCCAAAAGGACATTGCAGGATGGGGACTGTTAATAGCTACCACACACAAGCTTTTGTCCAGCTACACAAGCTGTATTGACCTTCAGAGTAACCTGTTCAGACTGGAGAGGGGCTTGCTAAAAGCATCCAAATGACCACATCAGGAGAGCAGTGAAGGTCAACCTGCGTAGCAGGGCCGAGTAGGAAGCAACGCATAACGAGGAAACAGCGGGGAGAAAGGACTTCCACAAGGCTCCACTTACCCTCATGAACTGCTCCATCTCCACCACCGTGAGCTGCCTGAAGCTCTGCAGAAAAGCCTCCTTCATCTGGGCAGCTGCCATTTTCTCCCGCTTCTCCGCAGTCCTCTCCAGCGCCTGGAACACGGCGGCACCCACCAGCAGGTACACAAAGTAGCCAGCCACCAGCAGACCTGTCTGCAGCTTGCCACTGTACATGGCCTTCAGTGGGACACAGCGAGGGATGGGGGAGTGAAAGGTGGCGATTAGTAAATCCCTCGCACTCCTGGGAAGCCTCCCCCGGGCAGGAAGAGCCCTCCCAGCTCTGGTTTCCGCTGGGATCCTGTGCTGACAGGGACAGCGAGCTGCCAAATACATTCATTGGGAAGTTGGGAAAGGAAAAAAAAAACAAAACAAAACACAACCAACCCAAGAAAAAACTTTCCATTCTCTGGGCTGCATGCTGTTTAGGGATTTCCTCTTGTCTGTGAAACTCTCCCTTGCTGAATTCTCAGGAAAAGTGGGTCAGGATGTGAGGAGCTGGCAGGTGGCCATCTCCTGCTCAAGAGGCTCTGGGGACAGGTGAGGATAGTCTTTAAACTGTCCACAGGGGAGTTTGCTTGGAAAAACATGATTTACCCTCCTGTGTCTCCTGCTGAGTCCAGGAATTGGACTCCAGGAGCAAGTCTTGATGATCCCAGAAGCCTCTTCTTGCCCTATGTTCAGGGGCAGCTTCAGGGAATGCAGCTGGACTGTTCTTGTCTACTTGGCCTTACTTGTCCACTTCTAAGTGTCAGAACTTGTTCCCATCAGCTTCAAGGAGAATGGTTTGGGTGCCATTGAGAAGAATTTGTAGGGTGGCAGGGGGAAATCCTTGAATGAAGATGTTGACTTGGGAACATACAGCAGACAGATCTGAGCTTGGCAGCACCATGGACGTTGTTAACCCTCAGATTAACTTTCTTGACTTTAGATTTTCCAGAATGTCCTTTTGCTTTGTGCATAATTTCTTTGTTATTTCAGCAGATGCTCTACTTTAATCATGAGAAAACACTGAAGCAAATCACCCTTTGAAGAAGCATTTAATATGTTCCACCTAATCTTCTCTTCAAGTCCTTGTGTTTTTATTGAGTTCAAAAATACAAGAAAAGGCAGAGTCTCTGGGATTAGTTTTGCAGAACTGGTGTAAACAAGAAGAGGCACATAGCTTCACTCTGTCAGGTGCAGGTTGTCCTTTCACACATAAAGCTGTTTGATGTCAGAGGAAAACAGGAAGACTATGAATGAAGGTAAGTATCTTTCCAAACCCTTAAACGTTTAAGGACTTTCCTTAGAAGTTACTGGAAAAGAGTTTGTAGAAACAGGATGTGTCGTTCTTCCTTTCACTTCTTTTGAAGTTACAACACAGGTGTGCTTCTTACTCAGATTTAAATTATTTCTATTAAAATAAAGGCACCTATGGTTCACCATTTTGTGTCTCTCAAACTCCTAGCCCTGTGAGATAAGAGAGATCCCTTTACATGTACAAATGCAGCATTTCTTCATTTCTTCACAACAGACATGAAGATAATACAAGTGGGTTATTTCCTCAGTTCATCTGAGGGGAAAATGGATGAAAAAGCCATGAAAGTCATGGAAGATTGTGAGACTTTGATATTGATTGCAGTTGTAGTGGTTTGATCAGGTGGGTAAGTGCCAAGAAACCTCACCTTTTCCATGCTGTCTCCTCTGAACTGTATACTAAGCTGGGTTTTCCTCTAGCCCTATCTTCAAGATAGCAGGTTTGCTATTTGTGCATGCATCTTCAGAAGCCCTTGATTGCCAGGAAGATTGGTGACCTTTGTTTTTCTCTAGCTCTGGAACAGGGAATACACATCACCTTATTCCAGTCTGTGTCTTCGTATGAAGGATCTTCAATAACCTGCCTGCGAATCTGCAATAACCACTACAGATTCTTCTGATGTAAGAGGTGTGTCCCATCACACAGCATCTTGTTCATACTTGGGTTGACACTTGCACAGGGAAAGAGGGAGGGAAAGCACAGTTCACTACTGGGATTATTGCAAATAAGTTGCTTTGGAGAAGAAAAAGAAGAGGGAACTCCTGGTCACTCAGTGGAATTCTTCACCTGAAGCGATTCCTCATTAAAGGAAGAATAATTTCCATTAGTGGTGACTGCTCCTCTCCTTACTTTGTCTTAGACTAAAAACTGCAAAACATGCTCTTGGTGGAGGCTGCAAGAGCTGTGCCACTTGTTGTAGTTATTGAATGTCACTGGGTTGAGACAGCACACCATCACTGACTCCATTCCACCCCAGGGGTCTGGATAGTGGGTTAGCCTGACACAACTCACCCCAGTAATGGAAACTGAGCACTTCCCAAGTGCTGGGAGCTGCTGTAGGTACAACATCCTCATCCGAGGACTGATGCTGGCACTCACACCTGCTTCATAAGCAGAGTGATAACTTGTTCAGAGAGCTGGGAAGGTAAATGGGGGCAGTGTATCTGGTGAACCAGCCACCATTACCTTTGTGCACTGTGAGATCATGAATACATCCCACCTAGATGCAAGGTATCAAAGAAATCATAAAAGTCATAGAATGGTTTGGGTTGGAAGGGACCTTAAAAATCATATAGTTCCAAACCCCCTGCTGTGGGCAGGGGGGCCACCGACTACATCGGGTGGGTCCACGCTCAGGGCCCCATCCAAGCAGACCTTGAACACTGCCAGGGAAGTTAATACAACCCTACTAGTCAATCAAAACAAATCAGTGGTGGGAAACAGCTTTTATCTCATGTTCCCTGATACCTCGGATGATGCAGTGAGGGCTGGCAGCTCCCTCAGGCCCGGGAGCTGAGTGTGCTGACACCACAGTCTTGTCTGTCCCACTGCCCCCATCCAGGGAGCAGGGCAGGCCTGGAGACCCCCGGCAGGTTCAGTCACCCCCTGCAGGGTGATCATGGGGCATGTTCATGGTGATGAGACAGGATGAGTTCAGGCTGGGAAGTCATCTTGCAGCTCAGAGTCACGTGCAGGGATGGCCAGGAAGGGCTTAGGGAGCGAGCCAGGCAGGGGTGGTGTTGTGCTGGTGGGCTTGGCTCATTGGGACTGAGCCATTGGTTCTAAACTATACACTTCCCTTTCATTAATTAGTCTTCTATCCTCTATTGGTTTTTAATTTCTCTCTGTTCATGCTAATTAGGTCCATACTTTTAGTATGGTTTTCCCTCGGTAGGGATTTTCCAACATATATACTGAGTTTTTGTTAGTGTTTCCTTTATCTTCTGGTTTCTGCAGAATGTCCATGTGGTCCATAAATTCTGCACTCCTTGTATCCGATTTCAACAATACATCTTTCTTTTCCCAAGCTTTGCTCACTGAAGCCTATAAAGGTTAGTTTATCAAAAGCTAAAGTTTCAGTAATTTTCCAAATTTTCTCACAATTTCAGCTTACATTAAAACTGCTGAATTCTAGCTAAGGCCTGACACACTACTTATTACCAACTAATTAAAAGGTTAACTAAAACCATTAAGAAATTGGAAAAGTTATATCAATTCCAGCATTATTTACCCAGTCCATTGCAGGGAAACCCACATAGTGAGATCCGGTGGTAATGGAGGGCAGGGAGCATTTCCTGCCTGTGACATGACGTGCTGGGGCAGAGTTTTCTTACACTCAGTCCTGCTTTCACTCCTTTACACTCTAATCATACCCACAGTTTGGCCATTTCCTTTTTCTACATATGGCATTAGCTGTCTTGCTGCATCCTTATGCATTCCGTGTCCTTAAGTAGATTATAGCCTGAAATTAATTCCAGTTTAATGGAAAATGTTATCAGTTTCCATGGAAATGACTTAGCATGTGATCGTGGTTGTACTTCCTGTTGTGCTTAAGGCTAAAACCATTAG